CCCTTCCCTTCCCTCCCTTCCCTTCCCTTCCCTTCCCTTCCCTTCCCCTTCTCCTTTTGTTCTTTCTTCTCCTCAGATGATTCTAATCTGTGGCCATACTCAGAAATCACAATGGCCCTGGCCCTGTGGTCCCCAGGCCCACCAGCTCACCTCACCTCACATTCCTGGAATATCCTGGGGTTGAGAACAGTCTAAGGCTAGGAACTGGAGTCAGAGAGGCCTGGGCTTAATTAAGTCCAGGCTCGGTGGCTTGCTGATGTGTGGCTTTGGACCCTTTATCAAGCTGTCTGATTTTCACTTTCCTTTTCAACCTAGGGCATGATGTGTGAGTGTGTGTGTGTATGTGTGTGTGTGTGGCTGGGTAGTGGTGGTGGCTTAATGACAATACCTTCCTTAACCCAGCAGCTGTGCAGATTAATGAGACAATTCTTGTGACAAGCTCATGGGCACAGGAAGCCCTTGATAAACATTGGTAGTGATGTTTTGGGGGTCACTGCTTTAGGAGCAGAGGGATCAGGGGCTTGTGGGAGCTCTGCTGACCTTGATTTTGGAAGAAGAGACAATCTGCTGGAGACTCCTGAGACTCACTGTTAGCCTGCGGGGGCTGGTCTAGAAGACCGGGCCTGTTCTGCCCTCTCCACTAGGAAGTTAGGGCCAATCTCACGTTTTGGGGTTTGTCATTTCTCTGGTTGCCCAACCTTTTGTCCTTGCTTGACAGGCTCTCATGGCTGCTGATGCCATTTCTCACTCTCACTCTGTTACCAAACTCAGTTTGGAAGATCATCCCACAGCTAAACCCATGTCTGAGAGATGCCGTGAGTGTTGGGAATTAAGAAAAGCTTTATTTAGTGGTCAAAGAATGAGGTGGGAGCCCCTGCTTGCACATCAACTTCTTGACTCCAGGAGATTGAGGGCCCGTAGAAATGGGATGAGAATCATGAGTGAGAAACAGGCTAATAAAGGGGAAGAAGAAACATGTCTTTTCTGTGAAGATGTAGAGATCCTGGAACTTGGGTGCCGCCTCTTTTCACGCTGATCCCGGTCTGGTGTTTCTGGTCATGGTGGCTGGTAAAGATGTCTTGAGCCGTAAACGGGGAGAAGTGAGGACAAGCGAGTGGGGGTTAAATTAACCCTATGTTATAGTTTGGGGCAAAACATTTCTCAGACGATCCATGTGTCTACGTGAGCTGAGTAGAGTCTGACACAAAGCTTAAGGCAGCAAAGGAGACAGACGCAATGGGGAGACAGATATGTCAAGTCTTCTCATCCCCTTCCCGCCACCCGGCAAACTTCTGCAGGCACAAAGAAGGGTCAATGTTTGTAGCAAAAGCAAACTTCAGACCCCAGGAAACTATCCCAGGCAACCATTATCATCATAACCCACTGGTCAGAGGTGTGACCTTGAAGCAAAGCTACTGGGAGTCTTATAATGTAGTGCCCAGCTGTGTGATTTTTAAGTCAACTAAGAGCAAGTGAAGCTAGTGGGTTTATTTAGTCCCCCCCATTCAGTAACACTCCCACTAAGAAGGAAGCCTGGATGCCCTTCTTCCCACCAGGCTGCTCCCTGCCTCCACTCCTCTAGACTCTTGCAGCTGCAGGCAGAAGGATTTAGAGGACAGCAGAGTGCTTTCTGGCCCAAAGCATTTCCTTTATAACTCAGTGCCACCACTAGGAGAGAAAAGGGGGATGGGGAGGGTAAAGAGCATGGCTTGTGTTGTTCTTGGCAGAGGTAGGAAGATGGAGGCCCCTAAAGGGCAGGTGGAGGAAGAACCAGCCTCCCATTGAATGACTGTGGTGTTTGGGGTCTGTCCTTCTTCTTCCATCCTTGAAGGAAGAGATCATTTCTCTCATTTCCTGATGAGGACACTGGGCTCCAGAGAGGTCTAGTGAGCTCCTTAGCCAGGGCACAGGGGGCTACCTGGGAATCTTGTTAGAGGGCCAACTCTGATTCACCAGGTTTGGGTGGCACTTAAGAGTCTGCATTTCCCACAAGCTCCCAGCTGATGTCAATGCTGCAAAGCTGCAGGTCTGGCAGGGACCCCACCTTAGGAGTCAGGCCCTAAGAA